TGGATCATCATCGTGGGCCAGAAAATCACTGTAATCCATTAAAAATGCGTTCCCTTCGGATTCGACCATTGACAATGTTCTCTAAAAAGGCCAACACTGACATAGACTAAGGGTTGTGTACATTTGCAAATGCATTTATATGTTTAATCACATAATTGGTAAAAAAAAATATTGTGTCAATTAACCCATTTATCAATTATGAATGAATAGCAATGTTTTTCACAAGTGTTGGTACGATACTTTGTAGTGTGCAATTTAACATAATTGCCTCTAGGAGTCACCAATGGAAATAAAACAAACACACACAAGAAATGCACGTATGCCAGACATGTTGGCGTAGACCAACACATTTCCAGGTAATTTCATCATTAGGAAATCCTAACGCGAGCCTGAAACCTGGCGTACGCAAAGTTTTTGTGCTTACGCAGCATTGATACATGAGGCCCCAGGTCTGGCGGAAGCACGTACAGCTTCATTTATACCAGTGCTTGTCAAAATGTTTACCAAGTATCACCATAATGACTAGAATTAAAATACAGTAGCGTAGCAAGCCTAATTAAGCAGCTACAGCTCTGCACGGTTAAAAAATGAGGCAGATTAATTAATATTATTATGAATATTTATTATTGTCAACGACTTTAAACATTATAAATAGTTTGAACATTAACACTCCACTGTGCTTACAGGCAAACTTTTTTTTTTATTAAATTGTGGAGTTTGCATGTTCTCCCAGTGTTCGCGCAGGTTTCCTTTGGATGCTCCGGTTAATTAATTCCGGTTATTTACTGTAAAGTAATAACATATTAGCCTGTTCATCAAAACCTATAAATGTTCCTTGGACCTCATAAATATAGGCTAAATGTCATCATATTCATAAATAAATTCTTTTTAATAAGTTTTGAAATATACCGTTTGTTGCATTTAAAGTTGAAGTCAGAATTATTACCCCTCCTGAAATATTAGCCCCTCTTTTTATTTTTTCCCCAATTTCTGTTTAGGCTTAAAGTGACATTAAAAAGCTTAACTAGGTTAATTAGGTTAACTAGGGCAGGTTAGGGTAATTAGGCAAGTTATTATATAATGATGGTTTGTTCTGTAGACTATCAAAAAAATATATATATAACTTAAAGGGGCTAATAATATTGACCTTAAAATAGTTTTAAAAAAATTTAAAGCTGCTTTTATTCTAGCTGAAATAAAACAAAAGACTTTCTCCAGAAGAAATAATATTATCAGACATACTGTGAAAATTTTCTTGCTCTGTTAAACATCTTTTGGGGAATATTTAAAAAAGAGAAAAAAAATCAAAGGGTGGGCTAATAATTCTGACTTCAACTGTATATATGACTTAGTGTATATCTTTGAAATCTAAACATTCACTTGTATTTTAAATATATGGGATATTTGTATTTACATATTGAAATTAGAAATTAGATCTGCACCTTAGAGTCGGCTTTGTGTGTCAGAAAAGCAAGTCATTAAACCATACCTGTCAACATTGGGATATAAAAATACGGAATATGCCCCCAACAACTTTCACAAATATGGGAAGGAGATCAGCTTCAAATTATAGAATACATAACAAAAACTAGAAAATTTAAAAAAAAAAAAGTTTAGCCTATTAAAATGAATTTACTGATCACATCGGTGTTATCGTATGCATCAAAGAGTTAACAGTGTGTTCATTTTTTACTTTTTATTACATTCCTTTACTTCGCATACAACTAGTTTGAGAATCACTGGTTTATACCATTTAATTGAATTAGACCATTAGCAAATCACTTAAAAATGAAGAAACAGTTTCAATATTTTCTTCTGTTTAAAGCTTTACTCTTTTTTTTTTAGTTACGTTGTGTACTTAGTGCTCTAACCAGAGCTGGAGATCGGCTGAAAGAATTCAAAAAGGGTAAAACTTGACTGTTTACCTCTATGGGGAGTTGTAAAATGAGCCTATTTTCAAAAAGAGGAGTGATATTCGTTTATTATATACTGTGATTTCTAGGTATCACAATCTCGTATAACAGTATTTAAATGGTAACAGAAAGAATACTTCAGATTTTCTTTTATGAAACATGGCCAAAAACATACTAAACCATTTTGTTGCAACTGTTCCTTTTTGATCTAATACTGTTACTGATATGATACAGTTTAACTTAGAATTCGGAGTTTAGGAATTAGGATATGTTTTTTTCAATTTGTATGTTGCTTAATACAGACATAAACCGCATCTAATGCATTTTGGGTCTGTTTTCCTAGTGTAAAGGCTAACAAAATACAACCTATTTTCCACCTACACTCTACAAAAGCTTATTTTTAGCCAAATTTGGATAAAATAAGGACAAACCGAGCGTTTTAAAATTAATTTACAATCCACTCACCTAACACATAATCATTATGTGGACTGTTGTGAGAAAATTGCACCAAATCAAAGCCTTTATACTTCATTACAATGTTCCAGAACACACAAGTTGTGAATAAAAGTAGAGTTGCAGTCCGCATAGATCCATTAATTCAATAGTACATCTGGGTCACACTGTGTGCTCACATTTAAGTGGTAAATGACAAAATAAGAACAAAGGGTCTCTGAAACTGAATTAGACACATTTAACAACAGGTGGGAATTGTAATGCATCGCAGCTGACCAGCAAAAATGCATGTTAATAGCAAGCAGGAAACAAAGTGTCTCTGAAGGTTTAGAGCTCTGTTTGTGCTGTAAATATAGTTGGAGATAACCAACAGGTCATGACAAAAGACTCTTATCGTGTTTTGGCTGGAAAGAAAGACATCTCCAGAAGCCTCTGTCCACCGCCTATACCAAAAATATCTTCTCCTCCACCCTGTTTCCCTGTATATCTCTTTGTCCCTCTCTCTGTTGATCTGTATTGATGGCCACATTTAGCTTTGTCTATGTACAGTCTGACCCTGAAGATTGAACTTGAAATGGAGCCTCTGTGATAAAAGCCTTTTCCTGGATGTTTTTATTAATAGCTGTTCTAAATTTGTGGCTTAAAGTGTTTATTGAATTTCATTATGCTGATTTACATGAATGTTTTCAAAAGGCTGTACTTGAAGATGAAGTAATCATTGGCACTTACTGAAAAATAACAACATACTTTGAGGATCTGCATGAATCAGAAGTGCTTGTACTGTTGATACTTAGAAACGTGAATAAATCATTGACTCTAAATGTTAGTCTTACTAAACCCTGGTTGAGTTATACTATTGCTTTTCTAAGACATATTAATGGCCTACAATAGAAGAAATATTTCTGACAAACGTTGTAATAATCCCTAGATAATGTGTATACGTACACTACCTGACAAAAGTCTCGTCACCTATCCTAGTTTTAGGAACAACAAAAAATAACTTGACTTCTAGTTGATCATTTGGTATCAGAGTTGTCTTATATGAAAGGCAAAGGCCTCTAGATCATGCTTATTTTACAAATAAAATATGATCAATAAAATTGATTTATAATGATTTAATTAGGACAGTAAGGTCTGACTTTGCTTCGACAAAAGTCTTGTCACTTAACAGAAATAATGTACAGTATAGAATATAAAGTCATGTTGCAGTGGGGAAAGAATGAATATTGTGTCTGACTCCCATGAGCTTGGAGGACTGCATCCATACATCTCTGCAATGACTCAAATCCCTTGTTAATAAAGTCATCTGGAATGGCAAAGAAAGCGTTCTTGCAGGACTCCCAGAGTTCATCAAGATTCTTTGGATTCATCTTGAATGCCCCCTCCTTCATCTTATCCAAGGCATGCTCAATATGGTTCATAACTGGTGACTGTGCTGGCCAATCCTGGAGCACATTGACCTTCTTTGCTTTCAGGAACTTTGATGTGGAGGCTGAAGTATGAGAAGGAGTGCTGTCCTGCTGCAGAATTTGCCCTCTCCTGTGGTTTGTAATGTAATGGGCAGCACAAATGTCTTAATACCTCAGGCTGTTGATGTTGCTATCCAATTTGCAGACCCCAACCCCAAACCATGATTTTTCCTTCACCAAACTTGACTGATTTGCGGCTTCCAATAGGTCTTCTGCAGTTTTTGTGATGATTGGGATGCAGTTCAGCAGATGAAGTATCAGAGAAATCTCCTTTCTGCCACGTTTCCAAAGGATCAACTAAAAGTCAAGTTATGATTTGTTGCTCTTACAAATGCAATCGATGACAAGACATTTGTCAGGTAGTGTAGGTGCATCTTATAACATTGAGTTGCATCGAAATTCAAACCAATACATTCTCACCTGTATAACCTGCATAAAATTATAACCTGTATAACCTATAAATTTAGCATTTTATTGAGAATTTAAATCTTGGTGTTTTTTGGAGAATAAATTAATTGCAAAAATTAATGGATTTTGGGCATCTGTGTTTGCATATCTATAACAAAAGACACCTCAGCAAAGATGTTGAACTGAGGCACCAACTTCTGCACAAGAAAGCAACTCTCGTCTTTTATTTCAATCGGGTTTGTTCTGTTGTTAGTCACAGATTTCAGTTCTTTGCAGATTACTCTTTGTCAGCAGGTCAACTGTGCTATTTACAGTCAGAAAAGTCCTGAGAAAGAGCGAAACTGCCAGAATAGATTCATGCTGGGACTCTTTGTTGGGATTTTATGCTCTGTTGCTGGCATAATCGTATGTTTGGCATTGCGTCACACGATTTACAGGCAAACAACAAATGAAGAAAGCCAGAAATGAGTTTTTACAAGCAATCTTATTGAATTAAGCTGCATTTGATGATTTTCCATTCGCTCTACGCAACTTCCAACAGGCAAAGAAGATCCTGTTTCTTGTGTTTTAAAGTCAAACACATTCTGTGTGAAGATCAGCAAAGCATATATTGGCATTGCAATAGTTTAGATAAGCATGCATGCAGACATATCTGTAGAATCTAAAGGACGATTATCACACGTAATTATACTCTTGCAGAGCCGGTTTGACTGATGCCTGTTGGCTGACTTGTTGATTTACTTATTTCTTCTCATAGATTGCACAGAAATATGACCTACAGAAGGAAGAGGAACTTCGTTTCTGGATTGAGGAGGTGACCGGTATGCCGATCGGAGATCACTTCCAGAAAGGGCTCAAGGATGGCGTCATACTGTGCGAGTGAGTTGGCGAACATTTTACATACAATTTCGCCTAGTGGGCAAGGTTTCTCTGCTGGAAACAAAAAGTTGAACTAATAATAACATTAGCTAGTTTGCTGGTCTCCAATTTGTCATTTTCTATGTCTCACTTCCACTGAGCGGTATAGTACAATTCAATCCAGTATGATTTGATACGGATCATCCTGATCAGGCTTGCATATCCACTACCAGCTGTAATTTGGTACTTGGCAAGGTGTACGTCAAAAAATTGTGATCAATGTCATTCTTGCTATAAAAAAGCCCATACAGACTATTGACATTTGTGTGTTTTGTGCACTCAAGTTCGTTATTTCAAATGTAGACATGTTGCCATTGCAATTGTGACATGACGTGTTATTGGTCATGCAAACAACAATGGAGGACATACAGCATAAACTGTTCTTGTGGCTGTTTGTCACAAGAAGATGACGAGCTTTGTTTGAATTTGTTCAACACACTTTTTGTGTTGTCGTTATCCTGGCTTGTTGCGCAATCAAGTGACATTCTCTGTAAACCAATCAGCATTTAGCAGTGAGTCTAGATCCATCTTTTGTTATCATACTGTTGTGCTAGGTACACTTACATAGGAGTCTAAAAAAAGCTGTACGATACTTACTACAGTTGAAATGGAAAAAATATGCACCGAACTGTATCACTCAGTGAAATTGAGCCATTAGTGTGGTTTTGTGAAATTGGGAGACCGCTGACAACCTGATTTTACCAAGTAGGACATGTTCCTGGATTAACATCTGTGTCGATCCTATAGCAACATTCAAATCAGCCAATCAGAATTAAGGGATACATTTACAGTTAGTTTAGGTATATGGTTAGGTTTTTTGCACTTCAACATGATTGTTATCCATCTATTATTCCCCTGTGATTTTGAGCATAATTTATAGTTATGGTTGGGTTTAGGGGTAAGGATTAAATTTTCAAACAAAAATGATGTTCCAGGATCAACATAGATATCAGTTCAGGATCGCAAAATCATGACGTACGGGAGAGCGCTTGTCTGAACTGCTAACCTAGCTTAAGACTACATTTAACAGACTGGGAGACTATCAGAACATTAAGAGTCTCAGCTAAACTTAATGAGACTTGCACAACTAATGCTATAAACCAGTGCAGGACTAGATCAGTCTTGATGATCAGTGGCATCACATTCTTTCAATTCCATTTAGTGATGCTAGTAGCAGGGAAATGACATATTCCAGCACAGAAGACGCTTATCTATGCTGTTCTTTTGGAAAGGAAATTAACTGAAATGATTTCCTGTTTTTATTTGTTTGTTTTTTTACAGATTGATAAACAAGCTTCAGCCTGGATCTATAAAGAAAATAAACCATTCACAGTTAAACTGGCACAAGGTATATGTCTCCCAAGGTTTTTGTATTCATCTGCATGTGCTTTTCTTACAAAGTGACTTCCAATACAGCATAGAAAACATGGCAGATAAATCCTAACAACTCCCAACAGTTGCTATAGTATATAAATGTGTCTTTATGTGCTGTAAGAATAAATGGTCCCATTCATGCACTGACTTTTCAACCTATCCACCTACAACTAACTCTTTCTTTGAAAAAGAAGTAACCAATGATGTTGCAATTGTTTCCTCAGTTAGAGAATCTTGGGAATTTCATCAAAGCCATTCTAGCCTACGGGCTGAAGCCCAATGACATCTTTGAAGCCAATGACCTCTTCGAAAACGGGAACATGACACAAGTTCAGACCACACTTCTCGCTTTGGCCAGTATGGTATGTTTATGAGTCCTTGAATCAAGATATATTGAACTTATAGCATAGATCTTTTTGCAACAATTATTTCTCTTTTTTTAAAGGCAAAAACCAAAGGCATGGAAACTAACATTGACATTGGTGTAAAATACGCAGACAAGCAGCAAAGAAATTTTGATGATGAGAAGATGAAGGCTGGCCAGTGTGTCATCGGACTTCAGGTCATAAACACTTTTCCTGAAACACACTCGTTTCTGGATGAACATCATTGTGTTTAAAGGAAGTCTGGTCATAATCTTATCTCATTTGTTTTTTGATGGGGTGAAAAGGGAAAACACATTGTGAATGAGTTGATAATTGTATCCAGTGTTACTTGAATAACCTCAGTTTAAGTGGTTAATTAGTGGCTCATTTGTGAACAAATCCGCTGTATAAGAAGACCAATCCTACAGATGCAGTCTGGAACTTTACCAAAAGTAAAGTTCACTCACTCTTCCTTAAAAATTAGGATCTGACAGAAGGAAACACATAGGCTTTGTTTTTTCCACATCTCCGCATCGCGCTAACATTGGTTGTTGGTTCTAGATCAGGGCTTGTACAATAACTGAGTTGTTTGTGGCAAGGGTTAGGGTTGTTAGGTCGTTGAGTAGCCACCCAACTTGAGGGTATTTTAGATCAGGGGTGTCCAAACTCGGTCCTGGAGGGCCGGTGTCCTGCATAGTTTAGCTCAAACTTCCTTCAACACAGCCCCCGGAAGTTTCTATTATACCTAGAAAGAGCTTGATTAGCTGTTTCAGGTGTGTTTAATTGGGGTTGGAACTAAAATATGCAGGACACCGGCCCTCCAGGACTGAGTTTGGACACCCTTGTTCTACATCAATGGTGTCAAACTTAATTCCTGGAGGGCCCCAGCTCTTCTCAGTAATAGTCTTTAATAGTCTCTATAGTAGTCTTGAACAAAACCCAGGTTCATTGTGGAAACGTAGTCCCGCGGATGTTTCTTGAGACCGCAGAAAACGTCCCGGCAGGTACGTACGGCTGCAGTTTTTGTTTTTGCGAATCCGCGAGAGGCCGCTGTTGTGCGCTTTTGCGCATCTCAAACGCCTCTCACGAGTGCAGTTCGCACCCGCGCTGTTCTCGTGTGAACCCACCAGAGGCCGCTGTCCGACTGACCAGATGATTGACTGCACGACCGGCCAATCAGCTGACCCGCCCACCTCCTTTCCTGAACCCAACCAATTTTACCGATTGACCCACCCGCCTGCTCGCTTCCCTAAACCTGAGCAACAGTTTACAAAAGCCGTCCAAAAAAGAAAAGCCCTGATTTTTTGTTTTTCTACCGCGTTTTCGGATTTCACCACGTCCTCACCCTGTTACGAAACTCGTTCACTTAATTTTTGGGATTCTGTTTTTGTCTTACCTGATTGCTGGAAGCGCTCTTCCCCGGACTCGAAACTGATCGCCGTGGTCAACTCCTCTCTGCATCTCGAGCCTGCCGACGTACACGGTGAGCTGAGCGGACAAATGGGTTGCAGCGGGGAAGCCCTCCACAAGGAGGTAAGCGGTTTCTCCGGCCGGCCGGCAAGCGTGAAAGGGAACAGCGTCACACTACCCGTAGCGTTCGCTTGAAAAAAATAAATGCGGCCGTACGTACCTCCCGGGACTTATTCCGCTGTCTCCAGAAACGTCCGCGGGACTACGTTTTCAGAATGAGCTTGGGTTGCTTGAACACCTTGATTGGTTGGATCAGCTCTGTTTGATTAAGGTTGGAACAAAACTGTGCAGAGCCCTCCAGGAATTGAGTTTGAGACCTAGGTTCTAAATCAGGGGTGCCCAAACTTTTTCTTATAAAGGGCCAAAATCCAAACTTGATTGAGGGCTGTGGGCCGAAGTTAAATATTCCAAACCGTATTATATATAATTTGCTCATTCGTTTCCTAACTCGAAAAAGCTGCTTTAAAACATATTAAATAATGATGCTGTATATTTTTTGACATTTTGTAAACGACTAATTATAGTAAAAAAATCGAGCTGCTACTGCCTTTGCCTTGATTTGCTTGATTTGTCTTGCGTGTTGTCCTCTGTCAAGTGACAGTATTTACGTTTTAAAAGTCTGATTCATATGAAACATTTAGTTTTAGTTGGCTTTTTTGTAGCAGCTCAATTAAACTGAAAAAAAGGGTATACATTAAATCCGTAATGATAATCTGTCAAAGGCATTCACCCCAACCAAATCCCCATCATTCTTTTCAGATGGGATGGCGAGCCAAACCAAAGGTTACCATGGGCGCGGGCCCTACTTTGGGCATCTCTGTTCTAGATTAAAGTAAAAATCAATCCTACCTTTACCCTAGCCCTAACCCTTACTTTTTTGTAATATGTTTTCCCTTCTCACTCCATCTCAAAGCAAATGATCTAATTCTGTTGTCAGACTAAGGAGTGATGGTCTTCAAAGTAGTCTTCAGAGTAGTTCTTTGAACAAAGTTTTTCTGATTTCAGATGGGTACCAACAAATGCGCAAGTCAGGCTGGAATGACGGCCTACGGGACCAGGAGACATCTTTACGACCCCAAAACACAAACAGAGAAACCCTATGACCAGACCACAATCAGCCTGCAAATGGGCACCAACAAAGGTGCAAGCCAGGTAAACCCAAAGAACCAATTTTTCTCAACATAACTTTGCATACAAAAAGACTTTTTACCTCATTGATCTTCTGTCGTTCTCTCTCTCTCTTCAGGCTGGTATGTCCGCTCCAGGCACCAGAAGGGACATCTATGACCAGAAGGCAGCTCTGCAACCAATGGACAACTCCACCATTTCTTTGCAAATGGGAACCAATAAGGTGGCCTCTCAGAAAGGCATGAGCGTGTACGGGTTGGGACGGCAGGTTTACGACCCCAAGTATTGCGCCACTCCAACAGAGCCTATGATCCACGCCAATGGCAGCCAGGGAACAGGCACAAACGGCTCAGAAATCAGTGATAGTGACTATCAGGCGGAATACCAGGAGGAGGAGTACCAGGGCGAATACCATGATGAATACAGAGGGCACTATAACGACCAGGGCATCGACTACTAGAGAACGCTGCTGCGCTGATAGTCAAAGCAGTATTAACACAATGTATATCAACAGAGCAAGTCTTTTGCTATGCCTTTTGCTTCTCACATTTACCCTTCCTCTCCCAGCGCATGTGATTGGGTAAAACGATTGTGAGCGGTAAGATATCTCAAATCTGTCTAACCATGCGGTCACATTTACTTTTGCTCAGTGAAATTCAGAGGCAAAATCCATTCATTCCAATAGCAAGCAGCACAATTGGGAGTTGTTGATTTGAAATAAAAAAAAATCTGCTTGGTTTTGACAGTGTTTTTGCTACGCTAATGACAATGGACCATTTATTGCCGTTGAAATTTTGCTGAAATATTGCTCATGTGACCGCATGTTGATAATATTAAATATAATTTTTAAAAATGTTTTTATGAAGTAAGGATGGCAAACTGTAAAAAGAAATGTCTAGTTTTGGAATGCGATTCATCTTTTTATGCCCTTCTCTTGTTTATTTTGCCCTCGCATCTTGGAGCGAATCGTTCTTAGCTAGTTTTAACGCTAATTCTCCTTTGGAAATCTTGCTCCACACCAACGCATGGCAGACGAAAGCCTTCTAAAGACATTCCTTCCTAAATCATTCCACTTGAAGTCATTCCATTTTAGAATTCCAAATGTCTGGAAATGTTACAAGCTACAAATGTTACCGTTTAAAAGATTAACTGACTGGACGACCAAAAACATTCCGCTATTGCTTCGTTTTTATTTTGTGCCATAATATTCAGAAAAAAAAAGATTCCCATTGTATTTATTGCCCTGCTTTTCATTATAAACCTTCTGTCATTTGGTTCTTTTATGAATAAATTTTATCTTATAAAGTATTGAATGTCTTCAATACTTGGTTCTCTGCACATTCTTATTATTTAAACAGTCCTAAAATCTTAACATGTTTAATTCTTGGTTTTCTATAATACGTTCAATAGTTTTATCAGGATTAAAAAACACACTTTTTCCTTTTACGTAATAGTTAAAGTGGTTCTTGTAGTTGCCCAGTAAAGCTGAGGTGTGTTTTCGGCAATGTCGCAATTTTGTTGTTTGGTTCTTTGCTCCTGTATCTTTCATGAGGGTGAATTGAAGTGGCACCGGGCCTCTGATGTGCACAGACTCTGCCCAAGTATCACAGCGCAACCGTAAATCTTGTGTTTTTGAGGCTACCCTCAGAGGCGTTTGGAAGCTGCTCGATGGGTAGAAAGCCCAGAGTTTCTGGAAACAGTTATTTAACCGCACAAAGTGGTGAAAGCCAGAATCTAAAGTAGAGCAAGTCAGTGTGTTCATGCAGCAATTCACGCTTCATGTGTCCTATTCATCCTACAGATTTGAGTTTTTAAAAGAATTCCTGAAAAGCACTTACTATGGAGATTAAATTAGAGAACGACCTACAATCTCCTAATTTCTGAGGTCGCTGTCAGGAGTGAATGAGTTGTTTTTAAGTGTATTTCTTGAATTTTCTGTTTTAAAGATGCATACTGACAATGCTTTCCAAATGAGATATACTGCCATCTGAAGGACACTTTGCAGTGAAAACAGTCATGTAAAAGTACCATTCCAAGGGCCTTTGGAATTAAGGGTTTTGAAGGGAACAATTAATGAACGCTTTGGGCAACCATGATCCTTTGCACAGGGAAGTTGATTGGTGTTGCACACTGTACCCTAATCCCTATGCCCTAATGTGCAAAGCTGTCACTCTGGAGGGTAAACCCTTTGAAAGGGATTAGAGCACAGGGATGAGCCCTTCCCAATGGAAGGCAGTGTCTGACACCTCTCAGTTATTGGTGTTAATTTGGTGGTCAATTGCTTATTTTTTTGGCAAACCACAATTAATTAGCAAGCAAAATTTTCAATCATTTGCAAGATGGTAAGCCATTCTAAAGTGAATGAAAGTCTCTCACAGCAAGTTGTCTAAATCAGTGGTCCCCAATTTTTATTACACCACTGACCTGTCAGCGCTTGACAGTTTTACTGCGGACCGGTGGGTTGAAGGGTTCGTAGGTTGCTAGGTGACCATTAGCCATTTTCTCAGAGGATGACAAGCTGACAAAACACTGCTGTCACTCTGATACAAGCTTTATTTGTGGAGAAAATTGGTCTTCTGTGTTTGTCTGAGATCATTAGTCTACCGAAATTTGTCTTTTCTTTACAAAATATGAAGCTGATTGGTCAGTTCTTGTCACTCACATAGCGTTGAGGGCATTTATTCAAACAACCGTAGGTGCATCTGAAAGGCGCAAGCGTGTCATGCTGCGCTCCTCCATTGGAAATAATGAACTTGGGCGAACTCTAGAAAAGACGTGATATGGGAACAGCCCTTAAAAATCCGGCATCATTTGTGATCTCCAGCAGTTGATCTTATTGCACAGACATGCTGGATTCACCTGATTTGTTGACAAAAGGGTTGCAGATCCATTCCTTGGCAGTTTGCGAGTTCTTCACTGGGCCTTTTCCTCTTAGCAAAGAAACTTTCCAAACACACCTTTTTCTAACTCATTTTAATGCATGGAGTTAAGGTGTTAAAAAGGTTCGGCGGTGGAACCACGCCTCACTTTGTCTCCTTAACCAATCATCTACTTGCTAAACCTTAGTTTAAGACAGACCAGCCCTCTAGCACTTTTCTTCTCGTTCTTTCGATCCCAACCTCCCTTCCTCTATTTCCTCGCTTCCCATTCACAATCTTATAACCCTCTTTTCACTCCTACCTTGAATCGGGGGGGGGGGTTTAATCACTCTACAAAAAGTATTACAGAGATGGTACCCCTACTCTGAGTCTCTGGGCATCATCGTAGGATACCCGATCAACCTACCTTCCTGTTCACTCTTTATCACTTACCCTTCAGCTCACTGTTCTCGTACCGTCCCCTTTAACCCTATATCTCTACATCCCTAAGATAAAGTCTACCTCAAAGTGTGGCGTGGTTCATGCTGGTAAATTGTGGGTTAAATTTTGGCGCTCAAGTGACAGAGATGTGAGAGAATAGTCATTTTTCTAAATAAATTTTTCAAAAATAAATGATAGATTTGGATAATTAATAAAACTGAAATAGTTATTGATTTCTTGTGCAGCCTGATACCAATTTATCCATGAATTGGTACCTCAACCTGGTGGTTGCGGACCTCTGGTCTAGATAGAGGCCAAAGAGAAGCTATGGTTATTCCAAATCTGTGATTTGTAGTGTCACGAATTCATTCAAGTCCGCTAATGAGGCTGATCACCTAAAAAAGACAAATAAACAAGATGACAGGAAAATGCAGAGAATCTCAATGGAAAAGGCAGCTGCAATCGATCCCCATTGCTGTCCAGAGTTCACTTCAGTAATGAAAGCAAGTTTTATTTATTTGAATCCAGGGGAAAACAATATGTTTGTTATCAGGCTGGACAAAGATTGAACCCAAATTCCAGTGAAAAGTGGAGAATGAGATGTCATGGTTTGCCAATGAGGTTGTTTTCTTCAGCAGAAGCTGCATTCTAAATGTTTTTAGACATAAAAAAACTGATGTTTAACTTCTTTGCATCCTTCAATTAAGTGTATGGTCCTATTCCCAGGTAGCATACAAATGTGGGCTGCTTTAGGCAGTTATGCGGCACTGGTGGTATTCCTTCGGCTCGGACAAAATTAATGTGAGCCTGAAGTGGCCCACCTGTACAATGGCCAAAAGGGAGGCCAAATATTCCAATTCATATATAGGCCATTTATAGCAAAGATTTGGCACTTATGGCAAAATGTAATCTGGATGTGAGCCTAATGTGGCCCCTGTGGAAAATGGTAAATTTGGCCCAAATGACAGAGGACAAATGTGGGCCACAGTTGGCAAAATAGTGGCATAGTCATTTAAGGGCAATCTGGGTTTAAACCTAAAGTGTAGATGCAAATGTGGCCCAGTTATCTTAAGACATATGTGGGCCACTTTTGGTAAATATCCGGCACAGTAAACTCTGGCTAATGCAGCCGTTAGCCTATTGTGGCTTAGAGAAGATACGGCAAATGTGGCCCAGTTATCTTAAAACATATGTGGGCCACTTTTGGCGAATCTTCGGCACAGTAAGCTATGGCTAATGTGGATTTGAGCCTATAGTGACCCAGAGAAGATATGGCAAATGTGGCCTAGTTATCCTAAAACAAATTTGGGCCACTTTTGGCAAATATTTGGCACAGTTAGCTTTGGCTAATGTGGCTGTGAGCCTAAAGCGGCCCAGACGAGAAATGGCAAATGTGGCCCAGTTATCTCAAAACATATGTGGGCCACATAGACTACCAACATGGAGAAAAGTGTTTGCTTTAGTTAGGCTCATAGCCTTAAACCTCTTAATATAAATATTCTTTTGGGCCGCTATAACTTTTAAGAACTTTGCTTGAAAAGTTTGTTCATTACAATAAACAAAATGAAGTAAGGCACAACCTGTGATGAAATAATAAAATTCACTGATGTTTACCAATGTTTAATCCATTATTAGACATAATAGGCCTGATCTGGGCCAGAATAAAAGCAAACCGTGGCCCAGAATAGGGTCAGTTCTGATTCATTTGGTTGAATTCTGGCAAATACGTGGTATTGCTTTGGCTTATTTGTGGCCCAGATCTGACAAACAGGAGTAGACCACACTATAGGCATCATTCCATTTAGAATGTGGTCCAGATGTAAGTGTCTGCTGTGGGCCGGATCTGGGCCAGAATAAAAGCAAACTGTGGCCCAGAATAGGGTCAGTTCTGGTTCATTTGGTTGAATTCTGGCTGATATGTGAAATTGCTATGGCTTAATGGTGGCCCAGATCTGGCAAACAGGAGCGGACCGTCCAAGTGCCATCATTTCATGCGATATGTAGGACGGATGTAAGTGTCTGGTGTGGGCCAGATTTGAACCACATTAATTTTGCTAGCTGGTTTTGCATGTATAGTTTGATTAAAACGAATGATTAGCACCATTGAATTGAATAAGTATGTGTACTGCCTTCCTACCTAGGTGTGCACTAAATTTGTAGTACAATGAGCCAAGAGATCTGAAACTACAGTAGTCAACACCTCAAGTGGATCAAAACCTTTAATCAAAGTTGACCTAAAACTATTGAACATCACCCATTCTTGGCTGACATGTAGGGTCATTTTGATTCACTTGACTACTGTTAAGTGCGAGCGCGGTATAATTGCACTTGATGACCTTACAGAGTTCAGCGGACATCCACGAAGGGATCTGGAATGAGCAGCACACCACTGAATTCAATTACGCTTCCCATGCCGTGACCTTTCTCCATTCTCACGGACCGCAACGTCAACCGAAACACAACAGAATGGTGAAATGGTGCGATGGAGCTCGGCGGATGGAACATTCCAGAAGTATTGGAGCAGTTTGGGCTGAGGCTGCGGGCTTGAATCGAGATCAGAAGAGGATTTATATGCGCAGCAAATAACATGTTAGCGTTGCATTCTGGGTCATTCTGAGATATGTAACCTGATGCCACATGGAAAAAACATTATTCGGTTTCCATAGTGATTTGGAGCCAAAAAGAGATTCAGAAAAGCATGAAGAACTGAGAGTTGACTAATTAAAGTAACGTGCTGGCGCTAAATCTGGACGTCTGTGTACTTGCTTGAACTCTTATTGTGTAAGTAAGTGGGTCCACATGAGGGGAGGACCATATAAAAGTATATCCTGCATACAGGACAGTGACCGAACAACCAATCGGCTTCATGAGAAAGCAATGGCATTCACTCAAGTTCTGTATCCCCCCTGCCTGCCCCTCCTGACTGTGTTTCTCTGGCATAATCGGCACATTGTGCTGGCTGTGGAATCCAGGACAAAAAAGCAAGACTCAATTACAGAGAAGGTCCAA